ACCACTCCCTGCTCTGCACTTGACATGCCCACAGCAGAGCGCCACCTAAGGGTCTGTTTAGGGAAGAGCCAGACTAAGAGTCAGTCGTTTCTGGTCAGTGCTTCCAGGTACCATTGTTGTGTCTTTTAGAGTTCTGCTGGGCCGCGGCCCAATCCATCGTATGCAGCTCGTCGCCTATTGGACGAGAACATTCGTTACAAGCACCTCCTACTGTTGACATAGACAGGAATTATTGACTGATAGTAGTGAAGGACATCAACCTACTGAAGGTTTCTGAGCCATTTCAAAACAACTTTACAGTTAATTCTCTGACTATACGAAGAAGTAACATCCAGGCTAGAAAAGTGGAACTAATCTGACTGTATGGAGTCCACATCTATATATGCACAGTAGAGGGGAAAGCCCCCCCCTGTTCCCTCGACCCCCACGATAGCCAGTATACGATTGTGTGTTACTGGAGGAGCACAATGCTTCTTTGTTTGCGATGAACGTGGAGACGGAAAAAAAAGAAAACTCAAAGAAAGAAAAAGTGCAATCTCGTGTTATAAGCAATACTGCAGGAAAAGAGGATGGGAGGGTGGGGGGAGTTAGGGGGAGGAAACTTGCGGTCTGTCTTGTGACTTCTATTTTTTACCCTTATTTACCCATAACAATCTTTTGATTTGTAGTACACCAAAATAGCCACGTCGTCGTCGTTGCCGTGCAGTTTGGTGAGGGTTTCTGTTTTGTCATTCTTCACTGAACATAGAAAAGGAAAACAAAATCCACTCGTAGAAATACTCCTAGTGTTTACACGTGACCTTTACCTCAGGCTCAAGCGTTGTGTAACCAAACAACAATTTCACCTGAGGGATATTTTCACTGTATTTTAGTTTTTTTTTCGGGTTGGCTTTGACAGTTAGTTTTTCACCTTCATCTGGACCGGAGACAAAGTGGAACATTCCAAGTTCATTAAGCTAGAGGTGATTTAAAAAATAAAATAAATATATATATATATATAAAAATATATATATATATATATATTATTGTCAGTCAGACAGTCGATTTATAAGCAGCGTCGGGAGTTTTTATTCACTGTGACATTGCGTGTAAGCCATGCCGTACTGGACGAGACCAAACTACTACACTGTCTGCTCCACTTCAGGGAACGTTTGGGAATCACATTCGGCCCGTGTACAAACACTGTTGTCAGGAAGTGACCGTTGAAGTACTTTGAAGATGAGAAACATGTTTCGAAAACCACTGTACGTCCTGTTTGACTGAGCCAGTGCTGACTGACATTTCCGTTAAAACGATGGTTTTTGGGACAAGTTAGCGTTTGGGTTATTAAAAAAAAAAAAGTACGTTTATTTGGCGACGACATTTAAAGGGATAATTGACTTCCAAAATACCTTTAAACCACATTGATAAGTTCGACTTTAACAGAGGGCAGATGTGTGCATGTTGGATCTGTGGAGCAAGGGCGCCATCTGTTGGAGAGAAAGAAAAACGCTACCGTCAGTACTCATTAAGTCCTGCTTCTTTGGACGCCCCCCCCATTGTAAAACTAACCATGTTAATATGTTGATCACTTTATCTAGCCCACACCAAAGTGCTGACCTGTTTTGCTTGTACATAATGCACTCTTATTTTCCATGTAGGAAAGAGGAATAGAATGGTAGCTGTTGCAGTTTTTTTTATATATATACTTTATTTAAATGAAGATGTTAGGTTCAAGGTCTTTGGGATTGTGTGCGTGTTTTTCCTAACACAGCAACATTCAACACCGGGTCGAATTCAGGAACAGGAAAAGAGGGTTTGTTTGTTTTTTCTTTCTTGTCGTGGACATATTTTCCCAGTATGTGCCTGCTGCTGTAGCACATCTTATCTTTTTGTGATATCTTTTGCGGACGAGACTGTATTGTTCCAACCATGTGAATACTTCTGCAAAGGACCAGGTGGCGCCACGCTGTGGTCTTCTGCCTCGTAACACTCGTGTTTTGTACGTTACAATTTAAAATGGAAGGGTAAAGGTGCTCTGATTATCTTTTAATCAAGGTTAAACTTTGATCCCGGGATGTGTAACTAAATCATTTAAGGAACGTAATGAACCTTTAAAGTGGGTGTGGCCTGGGTGGAAAAGAATATAAATTGAATGAGTTCTTCAAACTTATTTATTATTATTATTATTTTAATGATTCTGTCACATGATGTTTAGGATAATTAGACCGTATGGACTCACGGCACGCATCCCTTAATGCCATAAATAATATTCTTGAGATTTTTATTGTCACAATCATCTCAAGAGTTAGAAATGCACGATGGCTGCCCCCCCCAAGATTAAATTTGATTTCTGATCACTACGATGAGCCGGCGTTACACCAACAGATGTTTGTATTTAACGTTGTAAAAAGAAACCTCGAATCCCTCTGACGCTGTAGCATATGTTTATATGTACAGTAAATTAATGTGATATCATTGCTTGTCCATGAGTTGAAAGCTGTGTACATAGAAGTTCTTTTCTAAAGATGTGCATTAAAGTAAAACGTTGTGCGGGGTAAGAGAACATTTCCAATACTGTAAACTTGCTTTGCAAAAATAAATTCTATTTACCCTCATACACGTCTTTTCCTTGTGTCGTCGGGAATGTTGTAGAGTACAATTGACCAATGAAATAGGTCAGTGCTTCTCAAACTGTGGTACGTACGCGAGCGCTCTCTAGTGGAACGCGGGGAAAATTCATTTAAACGGAAACATCTTTATAAACAATTATAAACATCTCTCCTGTGTGGTGTGAGAACCACTAAAATAGTCGATCGGTCTATTTTTTGAGACTTTTTGATTTATTATGGTCACATTGACGGAGAAATAGTACAGGAATGAAGTAATATACGGTCAGCACGTGAAACGTTCCGTTCACCGGAAACTCACAGATGAGCACCAGAAACGTTTTTTATTCCCCCACCATGTCCCTTTAGGAGCTCCGTAATAAGTTATATTCGAGACCCTTTAGGAGCTCCGTAATAAGTTATACACGAGAACTGAAAAAAAACCCCCAAAAAACAAACAAAAAAACAAACAAACCCAAAAACGTTCTTTATTTGTGAAACCGATGATACGTTTTAATTTTAAATGACGCTCCACATTTGTCATTTCACCGCAACTTACGGCTCAGTTGTCGTAAATTCCTATGAGTAAAAAAAAATTGGTGCCGTAAATTAACGACTTCTACTCGTTGATTTATTTATGCTAGCAGTTAGCACGCGTCATTGTGTTATTTTATTGGACTAAACAACGCCCCCTAGAGTCACCGGAAGTAGAACATAATTGAAGCGAGCTATCATTAACTTCATGAGTTGCAGGTGTTTGCTATTTTGTCCCTCGGCTGGAGGAGCTCAACGTAGCCGTTAGCGGACGACGGCGAGGTTAGCCTGGACAGTTGCGGCCTGACAAAATGTTTTCCTTTCGCCCCTGAGTGTTTATGAAGAAGTCTGCTTATATAAACAAACAAACAGACAAAGAAACACAAACTTTGTGCAGTGTTAGGGGAAAAAACAAAAACAACAGGCGTCGTAAACAAACCGTTAACCGTTAACCCGAGCGTCCAACCAGAAGTGGAGACTAAGTACCACAACAGGAACACGACAGGAAGAAAAAAACTAGCTATACCGAGTATCGTCACCGATATTCCTTCCGAATTAACTTGAAGGCGGTGTTTCGTGAATAGGAGACGAGTCTTTGGGAAATGGCTGTGCGAGTTCAACACAAACTACAGTGAGGACACGAAGCAGAACAACAACAGGACAACAACAACAAAGACAACAACAGGACAACAACAACAACAACAACAGGACAACAAACGTGAGTCTAATCATTTAAAGTATGTATCGATGCTAACGGATTGTATTTTTTAAAGTGTTATCAATCAATAACAAGTATTTGTTTATGCAAACACCACTGAAATACCTGAATTGTTTTCTATGATCAACTGATGACGTAGTATTACAAGGCCTACCAGAAGTACACACAACTGTGGGTTATGCTGTTCAAAGTACTCAAGTATTCTCCTTTTGGATACTAGACATTCAAGTTGTATTTGTGTACTGTAACTGTGCGAAGATAAACCTGTTCTTGACAAATAGACAAACATAAATTGGTGTAAGTTAAAGGTTTGCAAAATGAAGCAAAAATATTCGTAGTCAAAAGTTGTTTAAAATTAGCTAATTTTTTAAGAATACTCAAAATATTTCCAAGAAAATTGCTCAGTCTGGTCCAGGGGTCTGCAACCATTAAGCTTGACTAAAATTAAAAAATTTTTTTTTACCAAGTACTGTACACACCGCGCAGGCAAGAGTTGAAGCCAATTATGTCCACTAGATGGCAGCAAACGCCCAGAAAGAAATCTGTTAGTGTTCAGTTCCTCAAACCTTATACTGTACTGCACATATATTCAGTATCCTTGTTGTCTAATACTAGTAAATATTAGTATTAGAGAAGGATAATCTAAAATCTAACTGAAATAATTTGAAAAGTTTGGATGTAAAATAAAAAAACCCTCAAAATAATCTCAAGTGACTCGACCACATTAACATGAAACAAAGATTTAATTTATAGTCTTTTCATGTTAACAATCTACAAAATGGCACCATTTTATATTTATCTGCAGTAAAAGTGTGAGTAACAGAAGTTAATATTTCCCACTCACCTGAACCAGGCCTGACTTTCATCTCGCTGATGTGACTACGCTGTTGTACAACAGTGCATTATCCAAATCACTGACTCTAATTGAATTATCTTCTTCCCGGGGCTTCAACCACTCGGATAATACACACATTAATTTACAGCAGGATCCAATATTGGCTTCTTTGTGCCTCCACTCATTTTCATTTCCAACTAAAAAAGGTCGTAGCAGCCGAAGACGTTTGTACAAATGGCTAATACTTGCGCGGCCCCAGGGCTCGGGGTACGTGAGTCTCTTTGATGGAGCGCCGAGG